AAAACGCTGTAGACGCTGTAGTACATATGCCAGGCCTGTAAGTGGCGCTGTAGTCTGCCACAAAAGCAGCGAAGAAGACTTCCCGCGCATGGTTGCCATGGTTGCCATTCTGTTTATTCTCCGCTGTGGCTCTTTTTCTCCCTCCCCAGGGCAAGGGTTTGCTCCTGCTGCTGTTATTCATTGCAATCCCTCCCTCGCTGTAATTCCCTCCGGTAGTCCACCAGCAGATGACAAACACCCACCTCTCCGCCTCTTCCAAGGAACGAGGGGACCGTGCGGCAGAGTTTCAGTTCGATTTTTTTTCGCCGGTCAAGATGTCCATTAAAGTTAAAATCTTCCGGACAAAATTAGAAAAGTGCCGGTCAAAGGTCTTCTTTTTTATTTATTGAGCTTTACAACAAATGAATAACGACTCTAATCATATAAGAATAATACACGGAGGACTGAGCCTCTCTTTTCCTCCCCCTCTTCTGAGAGCCCAGCAGCTGATCGCCCTCTCCTGCAGGGGGGCGTGGTCAGCTGCAGCTCATTTGCATTAAAGCTACGTCACAGAATCAGCCCTTGCAAATACAGGGCTGGAAAAGAGCAAATAGAGCGAAATGAGGCATGGCTAAAATGCATGATCTGTTTGGTATTTTGAAAAAAATACTTCACAGACATGTTTTATATAGGTATGGCCCTACAATATATTATTCAAATATTGCATGATAGGTCCACTTTAAATGGCGCAAGAGGAAATGTCCACAGCCCAAAGCAAAAATGCATTCCTCAGTGAGGATAATGGTTCACCCACTTGACAAAATGTTTGAGCGTTTAGCTTTTGAAACACAGGCTACATTTCACCGAATAGGATCTGAAATCATGTCGAATTTTGTAATGTTGGAAGCAATAAACAGATTAAGAGCAAAGCTGTCGAGTCACTTCAGGAGAAATCTCGTTGGTCTTCGGTCTTTAAACTGTTGATGGAATGAATAAACAAAGATTACGTCATCTAAACATGTATAAATTCAAGAGAACAGGTTCCTGTAGTAAAATATTTGGCTCATTTGGCACCTTTATAAATATATAAAAATGACCATATAAAACATCTCTGAGTGACTGGGTGACTGATTTGCGGTGGAAAAGGGGTAATAAAGTTGGAGGCTGTCACTGCTGGAGGCCCAGGATGGTAGTAATGGCATTTTTAACAGGCCGGGTGAAAAAAAGGAAAGATCCAACAAGTACTGTAAAGCATTCCTTTTGCTGCTGAGAATAGGATTGAAAAAGATTAATATTTTAAAAGACATCACCTCATGGCCAGTATGGAGGAGAATGATTACAGAAATTATTGAACAAAGGTTCACTTGTAAAAATACTATCTTTATGGTGAGAAGGGGCCAGATTTTCACATGGCTTTTGATAAACTACAAACCATCCGTGTCCAGTGTTCACAAACAATGAATATACCATATGAATAGACTCCAGATGTAGCTGGCCTTCATGCACAAATTGTGTGGAAGGCTGTGTGTGTTTCCTCGGAGGAATGATTTACTCCAGCCCCTCTGCATTCTCCTGTCTCGTTAGGGTTCTTCATTTCATATTTCTATTTCAAGTTGACACAGAGGACATTTTCATCCGTCATGTATAATCCCTTCTTTACTCTGTAGGTATTGGTAACACACATTTGCTTTGTGTTCAGTCCGAACACTTATCAGACTGAGGTCCTCTTTGTTTGTAATAGAAGTGCTGGGACTTGAGAGAATTGCTTTGCTGTTTTACTTATCATTGTTTGTTCTTGAGGCTCAGCTCCTTCACATTTCATAACAGCTCATCACTTTCATAATGACATGAATAACTGAAACACCAGCAAGTAAGACCTTTATATCTCTTAGTCTCATTTTGTCCCGTGTGCTGCTAAATATTCATTAAAAACACTTTACTGCACCCTTCTGTCACAGTTACAGCTAACCAGTACCCATGAAATACCGTATTTTCTTCTGAGCATGGCATTATTACTTATTTGAACACTTTATAAACCCAATCAGTTCTGTTTGGTTTGGTTTTTCAATTTGAAGCACCATTGAGCATCTGAGTCTCATACAGCTGGGGTGGATTCCTGCTGCTTGGATTTCAGATTCATACCTCTTAGCACTCGTCATAAAGACGTAAGTGTGGTTCACAGCTCACCTCTGGAGCAGTTCAGTGTCAGAGACATTGCTACAGTCATACTGCAGTACAACTCTGTGTATGTGTTTAGCATGTTTATGCCTCAGCGTATGGCAGGTGGTACTGCTCCTCCCTCTTGTTACATCGCTTGGCTACGATGGCCAAGTAGAGCACCAGCAGAATGATCCAGTAGCAGGCGTAGAGTATCGTCCCCGCTATCAACAAGACCTTTTCTGTCTCACTAAACGGCTCCTGTGTTTCACAGTAGATTGTATACATCACACCTCCGAGCAGTACAATAGCCCACACTGTGACAGGCACAGCGCCGATGAAGTTGACTACGATCTTCCTGCGGCCTGAAGTGCCCCATCCAGCCTTATTGATGGTGAGCAGAGCAAATATTTTGGCAGGAAGCAAGCTGGACATGTAGAGCAGAGAGTAGAGTGACATGAAGATCATGACCAGGTTGCCACGAAGGAAACAGGCATAGGTGGCCTTCACCATCCCAACCAGTTGGACCGTCAATAGAAAGAGCAGAATGTTCCACAGCCTTCCACGGTAGAAGAGATGGATGACTGTGGCAACCAGGAAAAAGGGGAAGAAGCCAGTGACCACAGACTCATAGGTCATCCAGAGGCTGTGCTTGTGGAACCACAGGGCATTGTAGAGCCACTCACGGAAGTAAGACTTGCTCCATCGAGTCTGCTGGTTAAGCCAACGCAGATACTGGGTTGGAGTCTCAGTCTGGCACTGCGATCGCGCAGTAAATTTAGTCTTGTAGCCGAGGCTGAGAACCCGATTGGTGAGGTGGCGGTCGTCCCCGAAGCTGCACTTGGAGCCCAGGAAGGTCTGATGGTACCAGGGCTCCAGGAAGCGCTGGAGCAAAGAGTTCCTATACATCCCCAGAGGGCCGCTGATACACTGGACGCAGCCAAAGTAGGACTGGCAGGCCCGCTCGATGTTGAAGGCCATCCAGTAGCGCACGCTACTGAGGAATGAGATCCACGAGTCATACTTGTTTAGGATCTGGAGGATGGAAAAAGCGGAGAGAAATCAGTCAGAACAAGTTTATCGAGGAAAGATAATTGTACATTCATTACATGCTGTAAGGAGCCTTCACACATACCTTTAGAGCAGTGGTTCCCAACCTGGGGGGGGCGCCAAAGATCGCAGGGGGGTCGCCAGGCCTCAGATGATTTGAGGCCAAGCATCATATTTTTTTATTTTTTTATTTATTTTTTACATATAATTGTAAAGCAATACATGATTGTCACTAAAAGCCTTGTCTCTACATTACAATAAAATATAAAAAATAATTGATTAATTAATTTGAATAACAATTCAAGTTAGTAGCTAAAGGTCATAAAAAACACGAGATAATGTATAATTCTTTGTCTGTTAAGTAGAATGTTCTTCTTGCCGCGTAAAGTGTCCAGATCCTGGGGGAGAAGTGCATTTGAAAACATATCTGTTC